ATTAGCTTTACGTGTGAAATATTGATTGAAACGCTGTTCGCTTAAAACTCTTCCGCGGTGCTCTATGATAAGACTGTAAGGACTTCTGGGAGCACCTAAATATATACACACAAAAAAAATCTATTGCTTGTGCGTACAATGTAAAACTGCTAGTACTTTTGACTGACAAATTCTTAAAGCATGAGTTCTGGAATAGTGTTCCGTGGCCAGACCAGAAATATTAAGAAATAAAATTGATAATGTGGCGCATTGTGGTGTTGTTGCTCGTTCACGACTGAACTCGATCATATCAAAAAAATCAAATGATTTGTTTGCTCTTGCAGCCACACACAGTGATTTCTTTGTTTAATGCTACAAAAACTTTTTTTTTTGTTTACCTCCCCAAGTTCGAGAAGGCCACTACAAACGAGGAGGCTACTTTAATTGTGGTTACAACCCTCCTATCTCTATAACTTTGAAACACAAACCTTGAACAACAACGCCGCTGCGCGGTGAAACAAGTTGAGCGCGTTACAACAAGGGTGGTGTGGTGGGAATAAAACTCGGAACTTCTCACTTATGAAGCGACCGTTCTACCACTACACCACTACTGCATTAGTTTTACATTAAGCCTAATCATCTTAGCAGTACCTGATGTACTAAATACACACAAATTATAATCATTTCTATATCAAACACATGTGAATAGAAAAAGTAGATTGGTTTTTTTCTTGCTATCCATGTTGCTTTACAGCTGTAAGAATAAAAGGGGCGACTGTTTTTTTACGGATATAAGATTTTTATTTACGGAATAATAGATGGGAGTTTTAACAATCTACGGATGTGACGATAAACGGCCAGGTTATATAAAAAGACTTGTTAATTTTTAAATTTTTTACGAGAAAAAAGTCAAAGAATTTTTGTTAAAAAAAAATAATTTTTAATGTAATGTTTTAAACAAATTTATTATATCTGTTATTCTATACTTGTAAAATGTACTCTTATGAGTGAAAAATATTTTTCCTGGCGTTTAGTTAAATCTGTGTTTACTAGGAATGTTTAGTTATAAAGAGTAAGTTGATAACAAATAAATCAACTGTTACTTACTTTAATTGATAAAATAAATAACAACAATTAAACAAGGCGCATTTTAAAAAAAAATGTTTGGGGTATAGAATCCCCTCCCCCACGCCACCCCCCTCTCCTTCTTAATTATTAGTGAAATAGCTGTTAGCAACTAAAAAAAATTTTATCATTTTAAACTGTAAAAACAATTTTGATGCAACCCGCATTGCAAAAGTTTTATTATTTTTATACCCAATTAAAAAATATCGAAAATAGTATTGATTAACCTAATCAAATTGCAAATATTTAATTTTTTTTTTTTTAATTAAAAAAAACAACAAGAATTCATTAAATGTTTTTAGAATTTTCAATTAATTTTTTCAACTGTATCATTTAAAGTAATATGTTTGCCTCATCATTTAATAAGTGTTGCTTAGTAACAGTGACTTCCTTTTATTACAATATAAAATACTTATGGTGCATTTAATTACGAAGTTTATTTGTCTACAAATTTGTGCATACTTAAGCGAATGCATTATATAAGCTGAAAAAAGTGACTAGATTTTCAATGAGTGACCACGCAAAAAAATCAACCAGAGCAATACGAGATATGTTTCAAGGTAAGTCAAATCTACATGTGTATATTTAGCTTGTTACGCTTTGTTTCTTGAAACGAAAGTACAGGTATAATAATCATTTTACCGATAACATCTTATAAGAAATTAACTTTGAAATAAGTAAAATATATTATTGTAAATATAAAAGAAGTTGCTCCTTAATACTATAATAAAAGTTTACTATTTATTAAAAGGTCTTACGCTGCATCTATACGAGTAAAAAAATGGTCAAGATTTGCAAAGATTCGCTATTCGCTCTTTTTAAAGAAAAAACCCGAGGGCGTTATTTGTGTGTCTTTTTAGAAAGATTCCAAAAGAATAATTTTGACAACTTTAGAATGATAGATTCCTAATTCAAGGTTTATGAACTGCGTTTTATTATGAAGTCAGTTATAATAATCCGCGATCAAAAATTTTTAAATTTATCAAAATTAATATTTTTTAAATAACGAAGTTCAAAACTTAACGTTAAAAAATAACTAAAATACATGTTACCAAATATTGTTTCCCATATATACGATTTCAAATATATGCATATACGCATAAAGTTTGTTATAAATACTCTTTTGCATTAACAGTGTCTAAAAATTTAGACATCGTTTTTATTATTTTTTTTTATTATCATTTTTGCCCATTATTTTTGCTTAAAATATATATTATTTTTCTTATGTTTTACATTAGTTTTGTATACATATAAGTTTTACTTTAGGTGTATACACGTAAGATAAAGTTATGTCTTATTTTTAGAAAATTATGGACCTTTAAATTACTTTTTCAATACTGTAGTTTTTTTCCGCTAAAAAAGGAGCTTAGAAGCAGGCCAAATTTTGTTTAAAAGGAAATCAAAAGTAGTTTGAAACCAACGTTTTTGTAATAAGCATCCTTAATAGAGTCAAAAAAAGGGAATAACGTCAAAAAAAATTTTTTAATGTGAATTTTGTAATGTTTATTTTATCTTATAAATTAGGCAATATATATTTGTATGTATATGAGTGTGTTTTCAAAAAAAAAGTTTAAATATTTTTAACATATAAAAGTAATCATATTTGCTAAAAAGTTTTTTTTTTTTTTTTTTTTACGATAGGAAAACTTTTTCTTTATAACTAACATGTTAGTAGCAAGTTTACTTGATGTTACTTTATGTTTGTTTTTTTATCTAAGGAATACAAAAAAAATATACCGGAAAAATTTGTAAAAGAAAATAGACGCGCTAACTTTTTAAATAACTTCCGTTTTACTTTTTTCTTAACCCAACTGTTATTCATAGTTATTTTATTAATTTTAATATTAAATTGATTGTTTCCTATAAAAAGTTGCATAAAATTGTTTATGAAGACCACTTTAGCCCTTTAAAGCCTTTTTTAAATATTTTGATAACATCTAAAAGTTAATACGCAGAAAAACAGTGAGCGCATCAACAAAAGAACAACTAATAGGTAAGAAGGAATACTCCATAATTACATGATTAGTAACAAGACATAACAAGAAGATTAAAAAGTTCGGAAATTGACTCAGAACTACTGTAACGACATTTAATACGACAAACGTCACCTAGGATAAGGAAGTTTTAAAAAAAGCTGCGGGTCGTGAAAAAAGTCTTTTCTCATTTAAGTGCTGATCCAAGGTTAAGTTATCGTGAACTTACCAAACCATTCATCAAAAACTGTGAAAGATATCTTTCTTCAAATACAGTTAGAAAGTTCTTTTTTGTAAAAACATCGATGTTTATGAATTTGTTATTTGTTCCATAAATTACGCAACTCTAAATTTAATAAATTAACAAAACAAAAATTGCAATTTTCCCCTCGCAGAGTCTATAAACTATAACGAATCGCCGCGTAAAAGCACATTTAATCTGCTTTTATTTTTTAAATAAATTTAACGTTGCGTAATTTATGAACGACCCCTTAAAAATAAGACAGCCACATCATTTTTTACTTACCAGTTTTTGTATTTTGATCATTATTGTTTAAATTAAAAAATATTGATAAAAATACATAAAATGAATATATATATATATATATATATATATATATATATATATATATATATATATATATATATATATATATACTAGTATACATCAATGTATATATATATATATATATATATATATATACTAGTATACATCAATGTATATATATATATATATATATATATATATATATATATATATATATATATATATATATATATATATATATATATATATATATATATATATATATATATTATTTTGTCTCCGAAGAAAAAAAGCAGGTTTTTAAAACAACGGCGTGATGCAACCACACCGGTAATTATAGTCAAATCACTATCATTAGAAGAACACTGTATTTAATTATCAAACGTTTCTTTTTTTTTTTTCCTTAAGTAATCATTTTCTTTAATGTTATTTTTATTCTACCCAAAGACACCTTAGTAACCATGGTAATGTTCTCCTAGAGCTAATTTTTTCCGCACTTCCTCAAATATATGTCCTTTGTGTTGGCTGATACGTTTTTTTTAGTTTTGTCAACGCTTCCCAAGTTTGTAAGTTCTAGGAAATTGTTGATAAGTTTAGGCTTCCAGGGCAGAAGTTGTTTTTTTATAGTTGTTAATTGTTGCAGGATTTTTGATCATTTGATATACATGGGTATATAATGCTTTTTTTTGGAATCTGTTTTAGTGAAAGCCTAATTTGGGTACCCGTATTTAAGCACCCAAAAATGAACGCTAAGCAACCAGGGAAAAGAAATGAAATTTAGCTTTTATTATTATTTAATAATAATAAAAGCTAAATTTCATTTCTTTTCCCTGGTTGCTTAGCGTTCATTTTTGGGTGCTTAAATACGGGTACCCAAATTAATTATAATAATTATTATCATTTTTTGGTTTTTAAAAAAAAGTTTAAAAATATGTATCCTAAATATTCTTTATATATATATATATATATATATGTATATATATATATATATGTATATATATATATATATGTATATATATATATATATATATATATATATATATATATATATATATATATATATATATATATATATATATGTATATATATATATATATATATATATATATATATATATATATGTATATATATATATATATATATATATATATATATATATATATATATATGTATATATATATATATATGTATATATATATATATATATATATGTATATATATATATATATATATATATATATATATATATGTATATATATATATATATGTATATATATATATATATGTATATATATATATATATGTATATATATATATATATATATGTATATATATATATATATATGTATATATATATATATATTTTTTAATTCTAGGGAATCGTCATGCTGATTTGATCGAAGATGATGTAATCTTACCAAAGCATATTACAGATGAGTTCTACGCTTTTTTAGTGAATTGTTATAACGAATTGTTTTACGTTTCCCTCACAACTAATAATCGAAAAAAGTCGATTTCCTATGTCAATACTAAAAACGGCTCTAACCATGTAAAAGAAGGAAGATTCAATGACCCTGTTGTAAGCGTACCATGTGAATATATATCTCCCACAATATATCTCCCACATAATATATCTCCTACAATAATAGAATCAAATAAGTTATCGGGGTATCTCCCTTGCTCAAGTTTTAATAATGATATTACAGACGACCCAATCACAGACGAAAATGTGTTAAAAAATCAAACTAATGAAATAAAGTTACACTCAAAAAGCAACTGTGTAAAAAAAAATGAAAAATCTAGTATGGGAAAAATTATATCCAGTCTTTCTTTTCGTAAAAAGTTGTATGTGCCTAAAAGTGAAGAAATAAATGAGTTTTCTGTTCATTCGACAAGTTTTTAGAATAACATCAGTATTAATATAACTTATATAATTTCTTATTTATGTTATTTACGTGTAAAAATTTTTAGAAGTTAATTCGTCGTTCAATTAAATTATCGTTATTGAGTTATTACTGAATCTTTTTTTTTTTTTTTTTTAACCCTAATTTTCTTTGTAGACCGAAAATATTTGTAAGCAAAATAAATATATTAAAATTCAGATAAAATAAGGGTGAACCCAAGTGATGGTGACGATTTTTACAACTATTTATATACAGCGCGGTGCAGATTAATAAGCTCACCAGTATAGAAGCTTTGAAAGCAGCTTTCAAAGACTATTGATCAAATTCTATGTGTTAATTTGTGTTCATTTTTTGAAATAAAAATAATAATTCAGTTAAATCTATTTTTATTTTTATTCAAATTAAAAAATTGTTTAAAAACGTGGTGCATAATTATAACCTCGTTATCTAAATTACAACAAACGGCTATATAATTAATAACAGTAAATTCTGTTTTCAAATTTAATTTATTCAATTAAATACATTTTAAAGAATGTCAAGAGGAATTATACTCTCCGATGGAGAAAAAACCGAAATTAAAGTCTACAGGTCATTGCGTTTATCAAACGGGACAATCAATAATTTCGTAAATGATCCTACAAATTATTGCGCAAAGTATCAAAGTGGTAGAAGATCGATGTTTACAGTTCCAACTGCGATAAATTGTGCATGCCGCTTGTAACCGCACGGTTTCCGCAAGACAAATTGGAGCTGATTTGGAATTTAAATTAGGGTTGCCAGATATTTGGCGATATGCGGTAGCCAGAAATATAGAAAAAAGTATCCAAACATGGCCAAAAAGTAGCGCGATTGCATTGGTTTAATTTTGAAAATGTTAATTTTATTGGCGTAAATAAGACAATCGGATAAAATTGTACCGATGATTTTTTAGCTTCTGTATCCCTTGTATCCCTTGGCCATCAACAATTTTGTTTGCTTCTTCTATCAAATTCTATACTTAACTTAATTTTGGTAAAATTGTCGCTTGTACCCCTTGGCTTCTGACCCACTCATATATTCTTTTTAAAAATATGATTTAAAATTATTTATATTATCATCATTATAAATTATATTTGCATTAATAACAATAACATTGTAAAAGGTTGAAAATAACTTTTTACGCTTAATAGAATAAAAATCCTAATAAGAAAGAAAATGGTGGAATAAAAATTCCAAACATGGCTAAATTGCTGATTAGTCAATTATTTTTTGCCAATTATTAGCTAGATTAACGGATCATTTGTAACAAGGTTTCAAAAAAATGGACGGCAAATCGTGCAATTAACAAAGTCAGACATTCTTAGAAATGCAAAAAAAACAAAACACATCTTTAGCATTAACTAAAGCGCACAAACGCATTTGTCTTCAATGGGCCATTGACCACGTGAATTGGAAATGTGAATTGCAAAAATTTGTTCTACTAAATTAAATACTGAATAATATAGAAATTTTTCGGATGATTTTGTGAAGGATGTTTCATGAAAACTCAATTATTGGAATAACCAGCGGTCTCTCCTGATTTAAATCCTATTAAAAACATATTTGGCATCTTAGCCAGACGTGTTTATGCAGAAGGGAAACAATGTTCAAATATTAATGAATTCAAAAAAAACAAAAAACAATTGTACATGTTTGGAAGAACATATTTTTTCAGAAACACTCGGAAAATATGCCAAATCGAATATTTGAAGTTAATGAGAATTGCAGCAATAAATCAAAGTATTAAAAATACATTCAAATAAAGATACAAAACATCATCAAATTTTTTTTGAACAAAATTGAAAGGAGGTTATAATATTGCACCATTATTATTTTTAATTTCACGAAATGAAACCATACTGTATTACAAATAATATATCTATCAAGTTAGATGGGAGGCAATTGAATAATTTAGTAGTGATCATTTATTTATATGCGAGATCTTGAAATTTCGGTGAGATTATAAATCTACACCGAACTGTTTATAAGCTTTATTCATTTGAGATCAATAATATAAAGCTGTTTAAATTATTTAGAATTAAGATTCATTATATTCATTCAAAATCATATAAATATATAATTTATCATATTTTGTAATTAAATAATTTGGGAACTTTGGGACTTTGGAAAGTTAAATTTTCAATTATTTGGGAACTTTGGGGTCTTTGGGAAGTTAAATTTTCGATTTTTTTTTTTTAATATGTCTAAAATGACACTAAAATGTGTCATCGGATAATGACGTCTCAATTTATTGATTAATTATTTCAAACACGTGAAAATAATTTATTTTTTTATTATAATTAACTGCTAATGCATTACGGAATCAGTTAATCAGCAACCTGGGTAATTATATATTTGATAACGTGTAAACGAAAATTTAAAACTCATAATTTCACGTTAATTTGTAGCTTTTTTGCTTTATTTAACAGAAAATATGGTTATCTCAAAGGGATTCGTTTTTTCATGTAGAAATCTAATAAAACTTTAAACATTTATTTTTGTGGTAAATATAAACTTATATTAATAATAAGCAAACAGAATAACAGTCAAAACTGTGCGCGGTAGCGCAGTAGTTACAATGCTTGCTTTATAAGCAGGAGATCCAGGTTTGAAACGAGCTCTGGACATATTTTCGCGTCACGGTAAGGAAGGAGGCGTGAACTTCCTGGTTAAATGCACTTCCGCAGTGCTCTGTGACAAGACCGTTAGGTCTTCTTAGGGCACCTAAATAACAAAAAACAAAAAAAAACTATCGGTAGCTAGATGACACAAGACGTGTTTAAAACGTCTAAAATACGTATTGCTACGTTTTTGAACAGTCATAAAGAAAACTTGATAAAGTTTTCATTTTTATTGTTTCTGCAATGTTTTTTGTTTTTTGCATTTTTTTTTTAATGATTGTCAAGAGTTATTGAAAATAACTCTTAAAGAAGGCTTTATTTAGTAGCTTATTGTGTTTTGTGTATTTAAATTTGTTATTTGTATTTCCTCTATATTTTTATTTTTATTTTCTCTCTATTTGGCAATATAATAAACAGCCACAGAAAGTTGCTGGTCATTTTACTTGATATAATTTTTAACGCCTTTATAAAAAATAAATTATTTATAAATAAAATTTTCATACAAGTTTCTGGGTTCTACCCGGTGGAAAATCGGCTAGTAAATATCTAGTTGTAATCGTAACGATAAAGACAGCAATTTAGCCACAAGGATCGGCAGCTTTTTTAAGTTAGCGACAATCTATCGATATTTGTACAGACGAAGACAGCAATTTGGCTACGAAGACGGCTAGCTTAATAAGCTAAAGACCCACAGGCTTTTGTAGCTAGCGTCATTTCCGTAATAAAATCGCTGTCTAAAAAATTTCAATATGCAGCTATCAATCTGCTATAGATTTGTAGATATTTTTTAGCTAGCTACAAAGCTACAATCGCAAAGCTTAAAGTTTAATTATTCTCATAATTATCAACACTAAATATCGAATTTTTAAAGATGTTAAAGACATTAGGAAAAAAAAAAATATCTACAAAATCGCTATAAAGCTAGCTAGTCGCTCGCTAGTCGCTAGCTCATTTCCCACCGGGTAACATCTTTTTTAAAGTTTTAGAACGTTTTATGACTTTTTTAATTTGAAAGAATAAAGACTGTATTTATTTATAACTTTTGCAGCAAAACTATGAGAAAAACCGTTTGTTTTATTTTGCGCTTTTCCTTCGTTTTCGGTAAACCTCTTTCGATACCAGTGTTTGATCAATTGGGTTTGTAAAAAAAAATGTGACTAACAGAGTTTACGAAAAACACAACTAACGGTGTTTGTGAAAAACACAGTTAACGGTGTTTGTGGCTAAAATTAAAATTACCATACAAAAACATTGTTGAACACTTTAACTTTGGCAATATCTGTTGCGCTACTTTAATAGAGGCAAGAATCTGAGTGAGCGTGTCATCGTTTTTATCTATTGGGTGATACATACAACCAAGAAGCATTAATTCGTTTTCAAAATGTATTATATGCCAGATTTATTCTACGGATGTCGAGGTGAGTGTGACGTCGGTAACCTTGCTGTAAGCGAGGCCATCTATGATGTAGATTGCAACACCGCCCCCTCTACCATCAAGGTCTGTGTTATGCAGCTGATAGCCAGCAATGGTATGAACCAAGTTTCAGAAAAGAATATTACGTGTGGCCATTCAGATTTGTTAATAGAAGTAAGTCTTGCTACAAGTTCATGGAGTTTTTCGCTGTTTAATGACCGTTGGTTATTTGCTCAGAAGCGGAAAAAGTTTATCATAGGTAACTTTAAATTTGGCGAAGTAGCCTGTGACTGCAGGTCTTGTAATGAGTTATTTGATAAATTATTTGGTTTGAGGGATTGGGCTTATATTATGTGGTTGCAGTTTGCACGGTTGTGAGAAGACGTTTGCGGTGTGATGCAAGGGTGCTTGCTTGGGAGGCAAAGACATATTTATGTAGTTCATTTGACTTTTGAACATCAATGAAGAAGATTTCTCCGGTACGCTTGTGGATAACATTCCGAAATGGTCTGTCAAGTACATCCGCAGCATATAGTTCGTCGTTAAGTTTTTTCATTTTACTTCGTTGCTCATTGAATGCCTCCTGTTGTAAACGAGTTCGATCTTCACGACAGAAAATTCCTTTGAATTCAGCAATATTATGGTGACTACGTTTCTGAAGCACTTCTGATTGAGGTTGTTCATTTGTTAAAGAGACCTTGACTATGTTGGAGTTATGGATTGTGTTGTTTATCTTGCTAGATTTTATTCTGCTGATGTAGCTTATTTTGGCACTGTCAACTCCACATGCATTAAAAAAATTGTTTGCAGCTATTATATCGTCGTAATCATCTGACTTGGATAGCCCTACAATTATGACATTAGATGCCCGGTGTTGCCGATTTTCAGTTTCAGCAGTGACGATGTTGATTAGTCGATGGCGATGTTGGACTTCCTCAGCTGATTTACCCTTAAGTATGGTTGCAAATGATTCCAATTTGTTAGATAATGGTGCACTCTTAGACATTTTTTTTTAAGTTTGTCTATCCGAGTGTTTAATATACATACAGATTCTA